GCACAAGACCAAAAATGTATCAATCATACATCATTAAAAAATTAATTAAAATAAATTTAACTGCGACGATGCATCATCAATTGCGATAACGATTAAATGTATAGTTTAATTAAACTTTGTTAGCATCCTAAGTCTTTTTTAATTAAGATAATGTAAACTAATTAACTACTCCTCCAATAACCACATTGGATTACCAAGCAATTTAGACCATGAAGATACTTTATTTAATTGTTCCCTTATTTCTTTAATCGAATTTTTATGTGTAAAATAATTAATTTTTTAATATTTTTTGAAAAATATTTTTTTAAGGGTTAATATTACTTTTAGTCCTTAAAAGTATGCACAATTTTGTCAGTCTAGTTCCCTAAGTATCAATTTTATTAATTTGGTATTTAAAGTATTTAATTTATGTTTAAATGATCCCTACATTGATTAACTGTTAAATTTTTGACGGAATAATCACGTGTTTGGTACGTAATTTTGTTTGAAAAAATAACACATCGTCACTTCCGTAAAAAAACTTGATGAATTGTCTGACTAGAGACTAAAGTGATACAAATTAAAATTATAGAGATCAAATTAATAAAATAATTACAATAAAGACTAAACTGATAAAATAGATATATTTTAAGGATTAAACAATAGGCACGGACCAAGAAAATATAGGTTAATATCATTGACGTCCCCTCAACTATGACATTATTTTAAATTTTCCCCCCACAATTTTCAAATTTTCTCATTTTAATCAGTTAGTTCTAAAAGTCGTAGCAATCATCATTTTTGTTTATTTTTTCTACCAAAACAAGCAGAAAAATTCACGCTACTTATTTAAATTTATCCGCTAAACTTGTAAGTTTTTGTTTTTACTTGTTTTAGAGGGTGAATTGCATTGAAGAGTTGATTGCTATAATTTATTAAAGACTAAATTGAAATAATCAAAAGTTGAGCAGCATTTTAAAGTCAGCCCATAAGTCATGGCAACTGCAAAATTTACCAGAAATTCCGTCTAATACATTTTTTCTTCGCTCTCTACTTGACATATCATTTATCCTACGTTAAAATGGGACCGTTGTATACAAATGAGCATCCCTTCGTTAATGGTAGATGAACTGCCAAATATATATATATATATATATATGAAGGGGATTTCCGGTGACTGCGATGATGCATCATCAAAAACAGTGATGGTGATTCAATGATAATATAAACAACTGTAATTAAATACTCCTCCAATAATCACACTGAATTACCATGCACTTTCGACCATTAAGAAACTTTATTTATTTCTTCCCCACTTCCATAATAAACATTGATTTTTTTTTAATATCTTTTGGCAAATGTTTTTTAATAAGTTCTTATTCAACTCCCAAATGCTTGGCTATTAGTCATTTGGTATCTAAAACTCAAACATTAAGAATAGCACTCACAAAAAAATATAGGTAAATATCATAAACATACCCTAAACTCCGACAAAAGCTTTAATTTGTCCTCTCAATTTCAATAGAATTTAATGCAAAAGTTCTATAAGTCGTAGAAATCGTTATTTTTATTTCTTTTTTAAAAAAAAAACTAAAACAAACAGAAAAACTCATAATATTCATTTCATTTTGTTTGCTAAACTTCTAATTTTTGGAATTTTTGTTTGTTTTAATTGGTGAAATAAATGGAAGGATCGATGTTACGATTCACATAGTTTTTGTTTTTGGGAATTATATGGTTTACATAGACTAAACTAAGATAATTAGAAGTTGAGGGCCTTTTTAAAACTGGGGGCATAATTCGGGGTGTATAATGATATTTACTATAATACATTACCCCAAGACATATGTGATTGCCCAAAATGACCATCCTCTTGTGCATGATTGCTAATCACACAAATACAGTATTTAGGTGGTAATGAAACACCAGAAAAAAATGACCATTATTTAATAATATTCATTATAATGTTTTGTATCTAATAACAAAAATTCATTCTCATTATTATAGAATGCTTAATCGCACTAGTGTAGGAATTGTCCTTCCTTAATATTTGTTGGTATTTTTCATTTGCAACTACCCTTACTCATTGTCACCGCCGCCACCTCCCCCAAGGTCAAGCTCGAGTCCGAGGTCGAGTTTGAGATCAAGGTCCAAGTCTAGGGTCAAGTTGGGGTTCATGATCAGATTTATGTTCAATTTCTTGGTCTGGTTCGAGGTTAAATCTAGGGTTAGGATCAAGGTTCGAGTCAAAATCTAGGGTCGGATCCAAATCTAGGGATTATTCAAATATTTTTAACTAAATTCATTCTGGCCTTCATTTCATACCCATATAAGACCATTTCTAATCCTTATTATTTTTTAAATCTTTATTTAAAAAGGGATACAAAAAACTCTTAAAAAATTTATCTAATGTTAGACCAATATTCATATCAAATGAAGAGAAATCATTTTTTAAACCCAAATTAAGGAAGACATTTTTTTAAACCTATGATGGTGAGATTATATTATCTTTTAAAGATCCAATGGTTATATTTTATCATCATTTAAATTTAGGTTTTTTTTCATTTAAATTTGAGTTTCTCTTTCTTTAAAAAAAATTTATCCATTGGAGAAATTTATACCAAATCAAATTTTTTACTTTTTTTTTTTACTTAAATTTAGGTAAGGGTTTGAGTCTGCGTAGAAGATGCTCTAAAAATATTACCCCGTGATGTAAGGCAACGTAAGGGCTCTATGGTAATTTCTTACTTTTGAACGCATTAAAGGGGTTCTATGGTAATTTCATACTTTTGCACGCATTAAAGTTTAGGGTTAATTGTAAGTTGTACCATGAAAGATAGTTCGAATCTCAATTTAGACCTCTAAAGATTAAAAATCTTAATTTGTACCTTCAAAGATAAAAAAATCTTAATTTTCACCTTCAAAGATAAAAATTTATATCAATGTGCACTCCTAAAGATAAAAAATCTCAATTTGCATTCTCAAAGATAGAAATTTATATTAATATGCACCTAAAACTAAATTAATAAATTATACCTAGATCCCCTCATGTTTGTCACTTAATTATTTAGACTCCTTCACATTTAGAATATTACTCATATATCTTATAGCATTTGTATATGTGCAACACGTAACCCATTTTTGTTGATATATATTAATATAACCGTTAAAAAATATAATTTTATCCTAATTAAAAATTATAATTTTATATTACTTTTTTTTGTGGGTCCAATATACTCCAAAATTCAAAAACAAGTTTACCATTTGAATGTCTAATAGAAAGTAGATATTTATATAATTTTTTTTTATATTCAATGCAATATATTACTCAATGTGTAACCCTTTATTCTATTAAATATTCAAATGATAAGCTTGATTTTGAACTTTAGAGTATATTGGATCCATAAAATAAAGGGTAATATGAAATTATAATTTTTTTATTAGGATAAAATCATATTTTTTTAACTGTTATATTAACATATATTAACAAAAAAGGGTTACGTGTTACACGTGCACAAACACTATGAGATATAAGAGTAATATTTTAAATGTAAAGGGGTACAAATGATTAAATAACAAGCATGAAGGGATCTAAGTATAATTTATCAATTTAGTTTTAGGTGCACATTGATACAAATTTTTATCTTTAAAGGTACAAATTAAAATTTTTTATCTTTGGGGATGCACGTTGATACAAATTTTTATATTTGAGAGTACAAATTGAGAATTTTATTTTTTAGGATACATATTAATACAAATTTTTAATTTTGAGCGTATAAATTAAAATTTTTGACCTTTTAGGAGTCTAAATTGAGGTTCCAAGATACGATTTGCAATTAGGGTTAATCTCATTTTGAAAGATTGTTCGAATCTCAATTTACACCCTCAAAGATAGAAATGTATCAATGTGCAATCAAAAATCTCAATTTACCCTCACCCTCAAAGATAAAAAATCTCAATTTACACCCTCAAAGATAGAAATTTGTATCAATGTGCACCCTCAAAGATAAAAAATCTCAATTTACACCCTCAAAGATAGAAATTTATATCAATGTGTACCTCAAAGATAAAAAATCTCAATTTACACCCTCAAAGATAGAAATTTGTATCAATGTGCACCTAAAATTAAATTGATAAATTATACTTAAATCCCCTCATATTTGTCAGTTAATCATTTAGACCTTTTCACATTTAGAATATTACTCCTACATCTTATGACATTTGTGCACGTATAACACGTAACCCATTTTCATTGATATCTATTAATATAACAGTTAAAAAATATAATTTTATCATAATAAAAAATTATAATTTCATATTACCCTTTATTTTATAGGTTCAATATACTATAAAGTTCAAAATCTAGTTTACCATTTGAATGTCTAATAAAATATAAATATTTATATAATATTTTTCATATTACCTTTTATATAAATATCTACATTTTATTAGACATTCAAATGGTAAGCTTGATTTTTAACTTTAGAGTATATCGAATCCACAAAATAAAAGGTAATATAAAATTATAATTTTATATTAGGATAAAATCATATTTTTTAACGATTATATTAATATATATCAACGAAAAGTGGTTATGTGTTACACATGCATAAACATCATGAGATGTAAGGGGAATATTCTAAATGTGAAGAAGTTCAAATGATTAAGTGACAAACATGAGAGAATCAAGGTATAATTTATTAATTTAATTTTAGATGCACATTGATACAAATTTCTATCTTTGAAGGTGCAAATTGAGATTTTTTATCTTTGGGGATGCATATTGATACAAATTTTTATCTTTGAGGGTACAAATTGAGATTTTTGATCTTTGGGGGTGCACATTGATACAAATTTCTATCTTTGAGGGTATAAATTGAGATTTTTAATCTTTGAGGGTATAAATTAAAATTCGAACAATCTTTCGGGATACAAAATGAGATTAACCTTTGCAATTAATCCTAAAGTTTATATATATCACACACAGACTTGCGAGTAGAAGGAAGAGACAAACGGATCGTAAACCATCTGAAGGCTGAGCCTGCAAATATCAGTTTGGCGCCGGAGAAACGTCGGAGTTCTGCCGGGAAGAGAGGATTTTCCGGTCACTCGCAGGGGTTGCATAAGTAACCTTCGTTGAGTAACATCGCAGGCAGAACAAGGTAGACGTTGTCCTTATGGCATACCATTTTGAAGTTTGTGTTCTGATGCTGCTGTTTGGTTGATGAGAAACGGTTGGAAAATAGAGTATTAGAGCCTTTAGAATAAACTTTGTTTGAAATTCATTCTCAAGAATATGAACCACAATAAGATCAAGTTTATTAGGTCTCTATGTACTATCCCTGTTTTCCTTAGAAGCCAAACGGAGGGGGATATGGATACTATTTCTGTTGCAGTTTACTATAGTTTTTAGCTTTGATTTCTCAAGGGTTGAGCTTGAAATGTTTCTTTACATAATTACATTTATGTGCCTCTGTTGAACACTCTTTTATCCTTCTGTCGACTGGTTTCACTCCTCTTTTCCCCCTTCTGTCAGTTCCTTGTAAGTCAGTCGACCCGCCATCTTAACGTACATCAATACAGCAGACTTTGAAAGTTCAGAGACTTTTCATCTTTTGGGACCCTTGGAGAAAAGATAATTTTGGACAAAAATGTTACAGAGAAAATAGACTAAAATTTTCATTTTCAATTGTTTCATTTCTCTTGCTAGCAACCAAATAGAGGATTTAAGATCCCATGGACTGATGAGATGGAAAAGAAGATATTGTATTGCTTGAATTTGAAGAACATTTAGCAAAATGAATAGTTCAAATACTACTCTTTCCGCTCTGTTTGATTTTCTTTCATGTTGAAATAAAGGATGAAATTCTTATTGTGTTCCATTTTTGTTTGTTGAAATGCCATAATTTGTGGGGGGTGTTTCAATTGCAGAGAGAAATGGTGCAGTTTTCTGCTCTTTTCAGTGGCTTGGCAAAAAGTATTTCAATCAAGAGTGGGAGGAATGGTAGAGTTGATGTTGGAAGGGAAGCTGCAGATACATTGACCAAGGAAGCAAAAAAGAATGATCTGATCTTGAGTTGTCCGGGCATCCTTAAAGGGTCTAATAATTTTGCCTCCACCTATTCCAAGAGAGGGAAGAAGGGAATTAACCAGGATTGTTTTACTGTGTGGGAGGTATGTCAGTGATATTAGCCAAGTGTTGTCACTATGGCGAAAAGTGAAAAATTGCAATTATTTAACATGGAAGTTAGAAGCATACTTGTCACCGTTGATTCTATTCAATTCATAGACATGTTTTTATTGATAGGAGTTTGGATGCCAAGAGGACATGATCTTTTGTGGAATATTTGATGGGCATGGCCCTTGGGGGCATCTTGTAGCAAAAGGAGTCAGGGAAATGATGCCATCATCTTTGTTGTGCAATTGGCAAGAAGCTCTTGCTCTAAGTTCATTTAACCATGAAGTTGACTTGAAATTGGATAGAAGCCTTCACCAATTTAATATATGGAAGCAATCTTACTTGAAGACATGTTCTGCAATTGATCAACAGCTGGAGCAGCATACTGTGATTGATTCTTATCATAGTGGTACAACAGCTTTGACAATTGTCAGACAGGTAAAGGGGAATGCTACTTGTACAAGGTTTTGTGGAAAACAAAGTAGATACTCTGTTCATTGGGTTTAGGATAATTCTTATGGTTGATGTTTACAGTTTACCTTAGATTGTGTTGCTATTTACCCAGCGTCAGTTGATGTAACGATGTCAAGCATCAAAACAAAGGAAACGAGTATGAAATGCAATAGATGTTAATGACCTAGGAAAACCATTAACTTTCTATACTGCTGCTTGATGCATTTTCTGATGATTTTGTAATTTAGTTTGGAGCCTTTTGTAGATGTAAAATATTCAAATTTATACAGCTGTGGAATGAAGTGTTTGTTATTCTTGGTATTTCCAGGGTGATCTAATTGTTGTAGCAAATGTTGGAGATTCTCGGGCTGTGTTGGCAACCACTTCTGATGATGGCAGTTTGGTACCAGTTCAGCTTACTGTTGACCATAAGCCCAATTTACCTCGTTAATGCTCTCTCTCTCTCTCACTTTATATATATATATATATATATATATATATATATATATGTACACAACAGTATGTTTCTCACAGATTTCATTGTGGTGTGTTCATGTTTACAGAAGAGACTGAGAGAATAAAACAGTCCGGAGGAAGGGTATTCTGTCCGCACGATGAACCAGGGGTGTACAGAGTCTGGATGCCAAGTGGGGAGAGTGTAGGAGGTCCTGGACTAGCACTATCCAGAGCCTTTGGTGACCACTACATAAAGGAATTTGGTCTTATTTCTGAGCCTGAAGTCTCCCAGAGAAACATAACCAGCAGAGACCAATTTGTGATCTTGGCAACCGATGGGGTGAGCATTCGACTGTTATTCATCAAATTTCATAATCAAATGAGTGAGAGAGCATCATTTTATGGTGTCAGACAACATTCAAAATATGACTGGAAGAAAAATAGAATATCCTGATTATACAGCATTTGAGATATGCAAATATGCTGTTATTGAGAATTTTTCGTTACACATCTTTGTGAAAAATTGCAAAATGTTGGCCACTATTGACATTGTTCTATCCTTTTTATGGGATTTCATTTTTTCGGTTTCTCAGGTATGGGATGTCATCTCAAATCAAGAAGCTATTGAGATTGTTTCTTCCACACCAGAAAGAGAAGAATCATCTAAAAGACTGGTCGAATCTGCAGTTTCTGCATGGAAATGCAAGAGACGGGGAATTGCAATGGATGATATCTCAGCCATCTGCCTCTTTTTTCACTCATCTTCAACCTCTCAACAAGATGACCCTATTAAGCTCCCATACTAGCTTGCGAGAGTTTCAGCAACTGCTTGTTGCTGTTGCGTTCCTGAATTGTTTCTCAGTCAATCTTTATCTGTAAATCCTCTCTGGAAAACAGTTATGTGACATACTTTTCTCTTTGTTCTTTAAGAATATGAAATCAATATAGTGTATCAATTGAATAGTAATGTCAACTGTTGACTAGTTTGAATGACAAGACCTAGGATTACTATCTCTAGACCCTGAGTTCGATTCCTATCCCAGTTCTGCTCACTATATGTGGATTGTTAGTGGCTGCACATATTCATTAACGATCATTGTACCAGCCAGGTGGGGGAAGAAGAAATCAAGCTTCAAAAGGGTTGACATGAAACTCATAAATTTTCATGGAGTTTTTCTGAATTTCAAAGAAAAAAAAAACTATCTCAAAAAAATGCTTAACGAAAATTTAGGATTTCTACGATCAAATAGTTTTATGTAGGTCCGATCAATGAGCCTCCTCGAATGGTTGTTTAATTTGAGAGGTCATGCTAACTCTAAAGAATATGTGTAGAGTCGGTAACAAGTAATGTCGAGTTGAGTTTAGTATTTTGTCAAAATTTATGCAATTTGTGTATAATTTATTTATAATCGTGTTGAGTTTGAGTCATAGATTATGTATAGTGAATAATTCATGTAACGCGTAACCGAGATTTTGTCCACTTATTTATACAATTGTTTTAGTTTGTGTACTTGACTGCGGTCCGGATCAATTATAATGCGGATCCGGATCAATTAATAAAAAAAAAATTCAAGTGGAGGAAGAATTTCCTAGCAAAAACTCATGAAAAATGTGAAGGTCCACATCCACGTGCATTTGCACGGCCCAACTCAGAATTCCTACCAACAATCCTCATTTTTAACGAAGTGTATTGGTTTTTTGCACGTGCATAACATGTGTTTTTTGGATGACGTTGCCATAATGAAATTTCTTGTTGAAATTTAACCCACGTCATCAAATTTTAATTAAAATAATTTATAATTAATAAATGAGAAAATATAAAATAGAAACTTACATATAGTACATTTTTATTGGATAAAAAGTTCAAAATTTGTATTTTTTTTGGTTCAATGGTTAGGGATGTTCAAACCAGTTTATACGTACCTTAACTAATCTTTTTTTCGGTCTAATCAAAGGCAGATCATCTTTATCGTGGCTAAGGTATTTATTTTAAATAAATTCCTCATGACTTGACTCCAAATAATCACTAAGAAAAAATTGTATTTGCTAATCTCATCATGAGCAAATATTGAATATAATAGTAATGCAAAACTTCCAACGTCACGTGACATCATTATCAAATAAGAAATAACCAAATGAATAAAGTAAATTTTTTTTTTTTTTTTTTTGATATTGAAAAAGGGGTGGTGGAAAGGAAACGCGCCGAACGACTATCTCGATAGGCCCTCACCAGTGGAATCATAAGAGTCCTGACCGTGCCTGGAACACCTATCAGGACCAGACCTAACTAAATTAATATAACGGTCAACCATCAAACCTTGAAGGAGACTCAAAAACTCAAACTCACAATCTCAAGATGAGGAGTAAGACCGGTATCCCACTAAACCACCCTACTTGATGATAAACTCTACTTCTATACATAGGGAGGATGGTTATTAAGTTACCAGCTATCTATTGTTCATTTGTTATATTTTTATTGAATAATAATATTACGCGTAAATGCATTTTCAAAAAATTATTCTGGAGTGGCAATAATGACGTGATGTCATTGACAACGCACATGTTGCCCAAAATTTTGTTTTTTAGTGGGACACTAATATACCATTACGTATTATATTTTTTTAAATATATTTAATTATGTCCAGAACCTAATTTAGGACTTAATTCAATATAGTCATTAAATTAGAAGTGAATTATATCTAACCTAGAAACTTATAACTAATCTAACGACTACGTTAAATTAAGTTCTTATAACACTATTTTTTTTTGTATCATATTAATTAGTACATATGTATACCTAAATGACTAACTGTAAACACACTTCGAACATATTCAGATTAATTTAGACATATTGGGTATATTTTAAAATTTTTTGATCAACTTGACCATTTATTATTCATAAGTACTTCAGCATTGAATTTAAACCATAGGAGAGATTTGTGCTATTTGCTCACAAAATTTTGCAATAAAAAATATGTAGCATATCCATTAATGTATATATCGGTAATTTTGATATTAATTTTAGAGTAATGTTATTGAGACCTAATTTACTAATTTAATTCATTATGACCTTTGAATTGACTATAAATTCATCAAATATTAAAATTTAGTATTGATCCAATGAAATTATATCATTAAATCAATAAATTATATTAGATATATAAGTCCAAATAGCATTACTTTGAATTTTATTAATCATTAATAATAAAATCATCAGACAATGATATCAAATTATAAAAATTTATCAGATCAATTGTAACTAACTATAACTAATCTAATTTTCAAAAAAATAACTTTATATGTGTAAATTTTTAAAAATTATTAATAAATTAAATAGTATAAATGTGTTAACCTTATTTTTATCGGTTATGATAAAACGTGTTACGGCTGTCGGCCCAAATAACCGCCTCGCGTGGACAACGTGCTAATTTGGTGAAATTAGGTTGTCAAAAGACTCAAAAATCTAGCAACCAATCCCCGGTATGAGAATTTTTGGTCTGGGTTGGTCGTTGTCTCCTTTGAATCACGCGCGATCGATCTCGCAAGATCGCGCGTGGATGAATCAAATAAATATCTCCGCACTCGCTTTTATAACCACCAACACTTGTTCAATTCACTTCTCATCGAAATCCAACAGCCGACGGCATTCCCGGTGACGAATCACCATGTCTTTCGGCGACCTCCGACCAACATTTCCGATAGAACTCAAAGACGATTCTGATTTTGATAACATCGTCTCTCCGGAAGGCCTCGTCTCAATCTGTGGCTTCGGTTCTCTTCTCTCCGGTACGTAAAAATAGCTAGTATAATTAATCATTTCTTTATTCGTTTTCGTTTTCGTTAAAAAATGAAATTGAAAATCGTTTGGTTGAATTTGTTTTCATTTCGTTTGTTCATCCAAATGTGTTGTTTATAATAAGACTGTGATCCATGATGAGTTTTGTGATTGCGTGGTGCGAGAGCAGAGAGGAGTGCGAGGAGTACATTTCCGTATTTGATCAACTTCAGAATCACCAAATTGAGCGGTTTTCGACGTGTTTTCGCTCATGTTGCTCCGATTTTCTTCCAACGCGGCATTGCCAACCCCCAAACCAAGGTTTGTTGTTATGACTATTATTAACTTGACTTGTTTGGTTGCCAAGAAAATGAAAGAGAAAAAAAAAATTATTTTAGGTTTACTACTGCTTTTGCTGTCACTAGTTATTAGTAACTCAGCACAACTGAGGTGAAATTTTTGTAGGAGTTTTAGCTAACAAAAATGCTATTTCTGCCTAAAATTCTGATCTGATTTGTTGATCTAATCAATCATAACTATTGAATTACTAGTAAATTTCAACAAATATTGGGAGTCACAAGTTAAATCAATATTAGTGATTGATAACATCAACAAATTATGTCAGCATTTTAGATCCAAATAGTATTACTGACGATAAGCCATACGTGTTGGGCTTAGCTAAGTGGAATTATGTGTGTTTTGTCTCTTGATTGGTGTGTGTCAAGTATTTGATATTGTGTGTGTTTGATTGCTTAGAAACTAAGGAAACAACAGGAAAAAATGTCCCATATATATGTGTTGCCTTGTTTGATTGCAATTGTTATGAATAATTTAGTGATAGTGTTTAACAATCACATAAAAGCTTAGTTAGTTCTATTAGGGTCTCAATCAAGAGAGTAGGTGCTCATATTTTCTTTTCTTTTCTTTCTTTTTTGTTTGGTGTATGTGCAATTTGATACTGTGTGCACATATAAGTGTTTTCATTAGGTCCCAGAAATGTAAGAATGAGGATGTTAATTTTGTGTTTATTTTCTCAGCAATCGTAGGGCTTTGAAGAATGAACTTGGATTTTAATGTACTGATGATGTGTTTTGTGTATTTTTCTAGGAAATTTCGAGCTTAAGTGTGGAGCCTTGTGAAGGTGAAACCCTTATAGTGACAGTTTTCGAGATTCAAAGATCAAAGGTATAGGAATCTCGAAAAATCCTGTAGTTAATTTACAAGATTTAGGCCCTAAGAATGAGTCAAAAACTGACATTCTACTCGCTTCACAAAGTCAGATTCCAGCGTTCATTGAGAGGGAACACGAGTTTCGATTTTTAGCTGTAAGTTGCAAAACCAAAATCAACAACTTTATTATCTATCCTAACTGTGAATTCTTTTCCTTTCTTTCACATGGATGATTTGGTTGTGACTATAAATTCATTTGTGTTTTAAAGGTCATACCTGAAACATTAAACGGGTTGCTGTATATTAGTGCTGCGGTGAGTGAAAACTAGATCATTTGCATAGCAGTGTATATAGTAATGGTCCATTGGAAACTTTATTCCTCTTTTTTAATGATCATGTGATTTAATGCGACCTAAATAAATGGTTTGGTTATTGATGCAGGTGCTTTGTGCACGTTATAGTGATGAAGAATATTTTCAAAATAGATGCAAAGGTAATTTCCTGATTCTCCTGTCGAGTTCTAGTTTGCATATATTTGAAGATCCGACAATAGGATAGATTGATGAAAGATGAAGGATGATGATTTTTGTTGATTCCACCCCCTAGTATTCAGTAATCAGTACAATGTTCGGAACTGTATAATAGGCGATGATTCAACGAAAAATTACAACTCGTAATTATACACAATTTATATTGATCATGGTGGAGGGAAATTCTCTGAGCTTGGTATCTTTCCTATGATAATCGAACAGCCCAAACCCATTTTAGTTTTTTACCATTAGACTTCTTAAACTACTGATACCGGGTTACAATATAATCCTTAGTTGACTTAACCATTTAGTTTTGCGTTTGAGTTTTGATTCTTCGATAATCAAACTCGAGAAATCTGATCTCTTGCCCGGGGAGGGAGGGAAAGTAAACTGAAATTCTATGTTTACTAGAGATTACAGTGTAGGGAAAGTGTTTGCATGCTTACTTTATGGCTGTTCTTTTGCAGGAAGCCAAGACATCTACTTTGAGCGATATGGACGGTTTAACATACACAAAATTTGGCAAGATGACATCTTACCTTGTCGTGCTTATCTTCGGCACTGGTGAGTGAGTTATATTATATCTGTATGTGAAATATTACCCTACTACGGCATGACAGTTGTTTTAATCAATGACATGATCTGTTTATATCAGATTAAGAAAAGTCTATGGTACTGTATTACCACTTTCTATGGTAAATTATAATTTTAAAATGATAAATTACAACTGTTTAGAGAAGATCATGATTGATCACATACATATGATCGATCATGAACTCTTAGTATCAATCATAGGTTTTCATAATCAATCATTCCCTTTAAAGTTATAATTTACACACAAAAAAAATTATAATGTTATAATTCCTCCGGTATGGTCCTGCTGATAGTACCGTAGCCTTTCCCACCAGATTATATCGGAAGATAAACGAAATTTACGTCCCTTAAGGTCTTTTCTTTTTTGTAATACCAATTATTCTGCTCATTAACTGAAGATGAAATTTGATAGTGTATTGGCAGCAAAGAACCTGGGCTATGAAGCGTACGACAATTTTCTGGACCATACTTATCTCGGGGACAGAAAGACGACCATTCGTGAGTACTTGACTACAACAGGTTCAGGCATAATGGAAGAGGAACCTCCCGAACCATTAAAGAGCCGATATGGCGGTTGACATCAACAGTTGCACAGACTATCTACAGCCAGAACACTCCATTTCATTTATTCCGTTCAAATATGTCAACCATGGCTTTACTGGTGTGGGCTTAGGATGAAGAAGAAGTAATGCAAGCTAGGAAAGTGAAATTTTTGTAGCTTCTAGCGCAACTTTTGTCGTCTTGGATGAGTTTTAAGAATTTTCTGTTGAAGATTAGTAATGTTTGAAGAAGTAAACTGGGCAGAGGATCTTTGTAGCCAAGTGTTATGATCTCTATACCGTGTCAGCCTATCCAGTTTCACATTTCTTCTGGAAGCTATAGAATGTAAATGGTGATGATGTGTTTACAAGACATTTTTCTCGTGTCATAAGACTACCGATGACCCTTAGGTTCCACATCATGATTAAAATCAAAACAACAAACAGAAGATCAGCATGAACTCACTCTTCATTCATAGTAGTGTACATGAAATGTTAGCTTAAATTAAAACTGATAAATAAGACTGTCATGTACTTGTACAAGCCCAGACACAACTTTACTCCTGTCCCCAACCCCAATTTAACTGAAAGAACTTATCAGATTCACTTGTGCTAACCTAACTAAAAAACCCAGATGGCCGAAAATAATAACCATAATCGCAAGATATTTTATCCATCTTAACTCACCAGTGATTCAATGCAATCATGCTTGCTCAATCAAGAGAGTTATCAGCTCATCTTCCTTGGATAACTTAGCCTGCTTTAGCCAGACTTATCGGTTTCAGGAAGCTTGAGAATGCCTCTCTCTATCAATGGCTGCAACTCATCTCTTGCCAGTTCCTGTACCGCAGAATCTGAGGTTTCCCAGTATGCACTAATTACCTTAGCACTGCAACAATAATGATAGAACCATCAATAATTGGGTTTACCTTGATGTTGGATCATAAATGCACCAGACTGAAACTGAAATTGTCTAATCAACAAACCTGTGACCTTGGGCCCACATTTCACACTTTCCTTCCAGAGCTTTCTCCCATAAAGTGGAAGCAAAGGTGGGGCAATCTAATACCAATTTTCTAATGGTTCTACTAGAATGGAAGTGCTCAAGAAGATGCTCCTCCACCGGTGCCTCCGATCTAGGCTGTGCCACAAGTGATGCTATAGTTTCATATAGGGTGCCTAGCTTTTGATCCAAAGTAGGGTGGAGAATGCCACCAGCACCTCCAGTTACAATCTACAGGCATTACACGGAAAAAAAACAAAGACAGCAATCCAACGGATTTAGAATTAAAGACGACCAGTCAACGTCAAGGAAGCAGGAAATGAATCAAACCGATGGAATGAAAAGTTTATCATTGGAATAATAATTTATCAATTGCATGGATAGCATTTTAAAAATAATTTCCCCTCATCAGAACATTTCTCCTAAAAACAGATAGGGCTCAACAAATAGTCATAAGAATCCAAGCATGAATATCTTTCCAGAGAACACAATCATGGATATTCAAAGATGACCTCTTATTGAGACGTAGCATCAGTAAATAGACAAAATAACTACCTCGTATATGACATCTTTGCCAAAGTTTGATCTTAGCAGTTCTCCTGCCTTCTCACCACATGCATCAATGAGACTCTGCAAGACAGATCAATGCTACATAAACAAATAAATAAATAATGCTTTGACGATTCAAGTTCAGCTCTCAAACAGTCATTACTAAAAGCAGTAATCAAGTTGAATTGTAGATCCACAAGATGAGGACTACAGCTTCTTGACAGCAAAAAGATTTCACAACAGGCATAGAAAGGAGTAAAAGCAGAAAGAAGCCAAAGCAAAATAAAATGAGAAAATCTATGGAAGTACAGTGAAGCAACAAACCTTAGCAAGCCCACTAGTGATCAACAACTCTTGTCGTCGTACAAAAGGATCCTTCTTTCCACCCTCAATTGTGTGTGGACTCTCTTCAGGACCTTCGCTACTGTCAGGCTCAGCTAGAATTTCATCTGTGCCGCTCCGATCCTCCTCACCTGCTTCACCAACCTCGGAAGATGATGTTTGTTTACCCAGGTCAGATCCTATTTCTGAATCTCCCTGGTAGTGAAAGAAATATGACATATTAAGTTTCTAACAAGCTGCATCACTTTTTGCAATACTTGTAACGTTCTAAATAAAGCAAAACAAATTGCCTTGGTGCAGAGAGAAGGAATAGACAAACTCAACGAAGCTAGATCATCTGGACTGAAATAGCGAGGGCAATTGGGATGAAGTAGCTGCAACAATGGACGCCTTCCATCCTAAAATAAACAAATGAGAGAAACCAAATTAGAAATATATTTAGTCATATGGAGGGGGGAAAATAACAGGAAGTGCATACATGCAAACATAGTCTACTATGGGGATCACTTCGAAAAAGGCATCACTAATTGAGGATGCGTGGAGCCCAAAAGAGCCACTAGTAACTTTCCCACAAAAAAAAAAAGCCACTAGTAAACGCAAAAAACTAAGTCCCAATATTATGACTACTCTTTGAACAAAGAGCAGATTCTTGTCAAAGTCCAAAGTATCTGACAAGGTGCCATCTTAGTAATTGAGATACTTAAACAGTGACAGCAGGCATAAGAAAAATATAAACCTTGTCCAATATAAGCTCCATTAGAATTGTTTCAAGCTGGCGAAGAACAACCTGCAATTAAGATAACATACAGAGAAACCCAATTAAATAATGTCATTCCTTTAATCGGGTAAAACATTTATCCATTCGAAGCCTAGGAACCAACCTTTGTTATAAGTTTTGTGTCATCAACAATTGAAAGAATGCAGACAAGCACCTGAGAAGTTATTGAACATAAAAAATAGCTTAAATTTCATAAAAACAAGGAGGCCACCAAAATATGGGCCAGAAAGAGCAGCAGAAATCCTTACAATCAAAATATATATATATATATATATAGAAGATAGAAGAAATCATAATGTACTTGTTGGATTCGTTAATCAAGATGACTACAATGTATTATTAAGGGTTTGTTTGCACAAGCGAAAGCCCCCCTCCCTGGAACACCTTACCAATCTAGACTCAAGCTCAGATATCTAACCCCGAGGGAAATTACAAAAGACTCTCTGAACTTGGTGGCGTTTTTTAGATCACCTCCCTCACCTTTCATTTATAACACTAAACCACCTTAAACTTATGATTAATGTCAAATCTGACTGCGTGTATCTCACATACTAAAGACGACGAGTGGAACAATAGCCCGCCAAAAATATAAGGCATACAGACTATTCTTCTCTCTTGAGCCTTGTCAAAAAAAATACTCCTGTAAAAGCCCTTGATGAAGTTTCATCCAATTCAGCTTCACTGACTCTCTCTCTCTCTCTCATTATCATCCTCCTCCACTCCACCCCAAAGACATTTCCAGAGAAATTGCATAGAAAGTGTTTGTGTGAGTTTAAGAAAGTTAGAATCGCACTTTTTATGCAATTTGGGATATGCGTTTGATTGGACTGTTCCCGTAAAGTTCTTTATAGTGTTTGGGGCTAGTGGTGAAAAGGAACATTGTAGAAGGTTGCTGGGTTTTGTTTGGGGGAGAGGACATTTTTTGTTTGGGATAGGAGTGTAGGCAATTGATTGAGATAGGGGCAGTCTCTGTTTGTGGGTATGGTTGATAATCAAGCCAAGCTTTGCGAGTTCTTTTTTCTAAACAAACTTAAAATATTATTCAAGCTCCGCTCGTTTAGAAAATGAGTCGATCTCGAGCAGAGCCCAAAATGAGCTAAACCTGAGCTAAGCCCGAGTAACTTGATTTTTTTACATATAAACGAGCCATATTTTACGAGTTGGAGTTGAGCCTTTTAGTTTCGTTTTTCTAAACGAGTCTAAAAAATTGTCCAAGCTTGAGTCGAGTCTTATAGAAGACGAATTTGAGTCGAGCCTGAGTAGCTCGGCTCAATTAAGTTCTATGTGTGGGAACAGTCTATAAATTTTGAGTTAGCCTAGGGGATTGAGGTGTGGGGATAATCTGATGGTAGATTAAATAGAGAATTAAAAATTTTAAAGAAGATGAAAGGTAAGTATTTGTTTGAAACTTGAATCTTGTAGTGAGGGTATTTTGGATGTTTAAGAAAAAATGCATACCCATTTCAATGCACTTTTTCACAAGTTACAGTAGGTTTAGTTGCACATCAAAGCTGAGGAGCCATTTGAAAACGCACCTAAATTCAGGGGGCTTGTGTAATTATTCCTTAAAGTTCTTGAAATTCACTAATATACGACTTTGTAATTAAGAGAACAACAAAGACAAATAAAGAAGTCAACAAGGAATTTAGTCTCCATCAACGGTGGGTGTTTGGTGTGGTGGACTAGGTAAGGACTTAACATTTCTACTTATTGGACAACACACCTCAAACCATTGTCAGGCCGAGTATTGACAATTACATTAGACAATTATAAAGATGGAAAAAAGAAAAAGAAAAAGAAAAAGAATATGGTTAGAGTCAATACGGAGTGCCAGCCTTGCTATAGTTAATATTTCCCATACAAAGCTAAATAATATTTCCTAATAACAAAGGGAACAATTTAAATTTTTTTTAGTGATTATGATCATGTGTAATGCATTTTAAAAGCCATATGTTAGACCTATCATTTCTTAAAATGAACGTGATTCATCGCTTGGGAGAGCGTTTGGATCTGTCTCGGGCATTGTCTTTGTTTCTATAGGATTTGTTGTTCCAACCCTATTTATTTGTCATATACTTGGATTGGTTTGACCTCTTCCACAACCCTTGTCGTTGACGATTATGGCTAAACAACATAAAAGCAAAAAAGAAAGCCTCTTAGAGAATGTTTTTGTTGCCATTAAAGCCAAGAGAGAAGTCTCTAGATCTGCTAGGATCTTGGTTCTAACTCACATCATCTGTCTGGGGGACAACATTACATTGCTTGCCCTATTAGTCAGCGGCAACCGTGGTAATTCATTAATTTAAGCCAGTTCTAGGTTACATATGGTATGGCGAAACTCTGTATGGGAGTGAACCTAAGGTGCAGGGTTCGACCCTCCCTTTGTAATAGTATGACCAAAAAAAAGAGCTACACCCAATCCTCCTTAAACCATTCGACCATAGCCCACCAAAAAGAACAAAATGCAACCAAAAGTACCATTGACGCTTAACCAGTAACCAGAACTGCCCCACATCTTTTCCCTTTAAAATGATGTTACTTTTTTTTTTCAAACAAATTCAGAATTTTATTGATTGAATTTTAAATGGATGTTACTTAGACCCTTTTTGCCACAAAAAAGAAAATATATAATAAAAGCCCAAAAGGACCTCCATTAAAGCTTTAAACCATCAAAATAGTGGCAACCCCCAGCACAAGGTAACCAAGAAAACTTATAAGTGTCATACTCAAGAACACCATGAGCAACAAAAAATATATCGAAAATGTAAGAAATCATATGAGGCTGCAAATAGATATACTGCATGCAACAGGGAGGAGATGTCAGTCGACGACAGGTAGAAAACTACCAACTGTTTTGAATTGCCCTCTATGGAAAAAAGTATAAAAATCCATTAAGTGAACCTTACCATACTCCCAAATCTATCACGAGCTATATTGCCAATGTGGTCTTTCAATCCTTTGATAATTTTCTTCCTTTCCTAATATTAAGAGAGATTTATGAATCAATTGAAGTTAAAACATCCACAAGTAGATGAGTAAGATAAAAATGACAAGATTTTGGTGTATAGATGAGATAATATTTCAAGACCAATGCAACAAACCTTTGCACTCCCATGTTTGATGCAAAGCATTCCAATTCTGGACCCATCCTTGCTACCAATCATTCGAACAATGATTGGACCTGACAACTGTTGAATCACATCTGCGGCGGAGGACTACCAGTAGACTTGGTTTAGAAATTCCTGAATAGTGGAAGAAATATGAACCAAAAAAGGCAAATCTAACATACCTTGTCAGCAATGCTAAAGTACTCTATCATTGCTCTGTGTATGATTGAGTGGTCCAATATTCCTTTCTCCAAAATTGGTTGAAGAACAGAAGCCATATGCCGTAAGACTGAAGCTTTTTGCAGACGTAACTTGGAAATTATGTCTACTAAACTGAAAACAATGGCGTATACATACAAAATGTATCCTAACATTAGAAAGCCAACATCATAGTTGTCAACATATACATCACTCTGTATGTCAAATTCAGAATTCAAGTGAGGCTGGTATAGTAAAAAGAGTAGTAAGAAGGCGAGCAACTCCCAAAATTCAAACACTTCCATCATGTCACATGCTAGATTGCCAATTTCTGTGAGACATTGGGAATGAGTACAAGATACCTTCCCTTCAACCAAAGTATTAATACCACGTTGACCTACAGACTACTATTCTTCTTAACTGATTCCATGTTCTAAAAAGCAACCTGAGGTTCAATTACATGGGATGCTTCTAAGAAAGCTTTGATTTAATGATGACAATATTGTGAATGCAACAAACGCAATAATATTCATTTTCAGTTAATTTGTTAACAACCACCACTAAAGTAAAATCTTCATCTTCACAATTTATACTGACGTTCAAGGTTGAAGATCTTGCTTCAGACAAAATATCTCAGCTAGTTAGCTGTGAGAATGGATGGCATGCATAGTATTTGGCACAAAATTAAAATCTTCCAGTTTTATGACGAAACACATTAAGCAACAACAAAAAAGGGCAATCTGAAAAACACCTAGGGAAACCTTTCAAACAGCTAAGCCTTTACCTGCCCTCTTTCGTTGTAACCAAATCCTTAAACAGCTGAAGCTCGGTGGAATATAGTTCCATTAGAAGAGCTTGTTTCTGAGTTGCATTTCCCAATTTATATGCATGTTCAATAACTGCAACAAGCAAAATAGTATCAAATTTGGTAATTAAATTTGCAAAGGTTGAAAAGTACAGGGTGTCAAAATCCCAGTTATTAGAACTTCACTACAATCTCTCACATTCTTGCCCTAGGAAATGCAGCACAAGAATTACCTACTAGTGGATGAAGAATTTTTTTTGAAAAATGAAAACTTGAATCAGGAAGCTTGTATTTTTGCTAAGTAATAGACAACGGAGAACCCATAATCAAGTACACTGCTAAAGGTAGGGTGATTTAAGGGGATCAGCCAGAATATTGCTATCATAGTGACCAAAATATTGTTCGCATACCAAGTGAGCCAACCATATGGCGAAGTAGAGTAGCAACATGCCCATGGAGGGAGGAAGTAAACTCTGCCAGTTGTTCTTTCGAAGCTGAAAAAGTCGTTTAAGGTAACAATAAAATATTGATTAAAAGTCATCAAAAAACACAAAGGTACTAAACTTTCAACAAATCATATTTCACCATGTTAATTAGTTAATTTAGCTGAGGCATACCATTATCTAACATTTTTGTCAGTAGATGGACTGCATACGTGTTGCATGCCAGAGTGAGAAAATGGGGCTGGAGTTCCTTGTAGACAACATCCCTCTCGTCTTGTGAACAGTACTTAACACAAGTCTAATGAAGAAAACAAGGTCAGAAAAGGGCTACTATAAACAAAAGAATATTCAAGCTTGGTACTTGAAGAAAAACAACAGCTCAAATCACCTGAAGAACACGGGAAGAAACATGAGAGCTTGCAATTTCTGGAATCTTTCCCTGCATCTTCTTTAGAGCTTCACTCACTAGCCTAGAGATACAATAGACACGGCATAAACAATAAAAATTCTAATTAAGCATGTGATGAAGGCAGAATGACACTTGTAAACTTTGTAATGAAACTATGTACTTGGATCTGTTTTCTTTGGTAATATTACGTAGCCTCATCTTTTCCCACAGTGATGCAAGTTCCTATTAAAAGCAAAATAAAAGTCACTGAAACAGCAGGAACCATAATAACTCATAAATTTGGTAAACAGGAATTTAAACAGGCTTCACTCCAATTATGGCTTTAGCAAACATTCTGTGTAAAGATATTCATGTCATTAGCCAAAAATAAACTAGTACTGTAATGCAAGCAAGAACAATTAATCCACAGTAAATACTAGAAATCAACAGAAAGAAAGATAAGTGAACCCCCTCATGAGTCATCGGCTCATGGCTATACCTGCTGCTAAAATATTGTACTTCGATAGTATTGGAGCAGATGACTGCTGATCCATTTTTATTTTAATTTAATTTTTATGGCGTTTTCAACACTACTTTAATAATCCATATAACAGTGAAAAAGTGTTCTAAAAACCATATTCATGAGAGATAATAGTGGTGATAAAGAAACAATACGAACTTGTTCCAGAGTGTAATGCCGCTTCCTCTTCTTCTTCCTAGCTTCTGCTAGTTCCTGCAATAAATTCAAAAACGCAAAAAAGAATAATGAACACTGTAAAGTTATTAACACTTCAAAATTCGACTCTGTGTTTCCTATTAAAAACCAAATAGTCATGCAAAAATCCCACAGATCAAAATATTCGAAATTTCGAACAAAATCTAATAATTATTCTAATAATAACAAGAAAAAAACCAAAAATTACACAAACACACCGCTTAATTGCGGCTAAAACCACATAAAAATTTTCAAAACCTCGTATATATTCATTCCAAAAACTAAAATCCTAACTCTCAATTCGACCTCAAAAGGTAGTCTCAATAAATTTTACACGTATATAGAGTCTCTGTAAAAAGAACCAACTGCATGTGTAAGACAGTAAAGTAAAGATTAGACCTTCGCGTGTAAACGACGTTCTTTCTTGCTTGGCTGCTCCACTTTCGCTTTATCAGTCTCTGATTTCTGAAATTTTGGTTTAGATTCGTGTTGGTGTTTGGATAATTTATAAGGTTTCTTCAAACCCTTGTTCACAGGATTCGAAGGCAATTTCAGTTTCTTCGGTTTTGCTCTCTCTCCTTCACCTTCCGCGGCTGCAATTCGCTTTCTCTTCGTAGATTCATTTCCTTTTTTAGTCTTCGCCGCCATCGGTGTATCGGCTTCACTGCTCAAAGCTCATTCCCGCAGTCTCTCTCTCTCTCTCTCTCTCTGTATAGGGGTTTTCGCGAGGGTTTTGTTTCTGGGCTGGACATATTTTGATGGAGCCCATATATAATGGACCGTATTTGAGCCCATACTAACCTTGGAATAGGTTGAGCCACTCTCAAACGGATCAAATGTAGGCCCAGGCCGACTTTAAGAACAGGTTTATTTATTGGGCGAATTTCACTTTGAACCCTGAAAGATTTTAATTTTTTTATTTTACTCCTAAAGATTTTTTTTTTCAATATTACACCCTCAATATATCAAAAGTGTTACAATGTGGTCTTTCTATTAACTTTCCGTTAGTTTTGTTGTCAATGTCAATGGGTTTACTTTTGACAAAAAAAATAATATAAACTAATAGAAAGATGACATCGTAATACTTTTGATATGTTGAGAATATAATGTACAAATTTAATCTTGAGGATATAAATAAAAAAATTAAAAAAATTTAGAGTATAAAGTACAAAAAATCTTATTTATTTATTTTCTTTTTTTTGGAGGAAAGAGTGGTAAGAGATGAAATTGAAACTCGCAACCGCTTAGCGACTAAGAATGAACACCTAGAATTGGGACATTTGTGTAATAAAAAAAATCATGAATTGCTTAAGAGTAAGGACAAAAATGTGGAGATGATGAAAGTAAATAGGATTTTCGGAAGAAAAATTTGGATATAATATTTGATTTTGTTTTATCGAAATAAGAAATTATATCGAAATTATAATAATTGCATTTCTCTTGATGGCATGCTGATATTTTTTTTCCTTGGTAACAAGAAGATATTACTCACCTCTTAAAGCACCCGACTAATAGTCCTTCAGCAATATACTATTCTTTGATGCACGATTCTCCTCTCTCCACATGCATCGGAGAATTACCAAGATAAATCCTTAATTATGCTCGAACAAAAAACCTCGAGTTCATTGAGTGGTCTCCTATCTAGATTATCTACTCAATGTATTGCATAACAAGTGAATTCAACTCGACTTCAAATGCATAGATATTTGTGCATTGAGTACGACTTTTTCGTGCAATATCAGGTAGTATCTCTTGTTGTAGACATTGTCTTAGCTATGCAGATAAATATCTTTGACTACTGGAACTGTTAGGTCTCCTGCATCTTTCTGTATATAACCTTTGTCTGAAACTGCTCCTGCAGGTTATATCCCCCACATCACATGCACTGAAGCTGTGAAGCATGTGAGAAAAAAAAAAGAGGCATGTTGGGTTGTAGGGTTTTGTACGTATCAATTGTCATGTGCTTTGTGGGGTCTTGAGATAGGATAGAGAGTGACTTCTATGTCATGGCATGTGGTTTTGGTTTGGAGTAATGTACGTTTGATTGATACATAAAACTCCAACTGCAGGCCTGGTCTTTGGGTTAAGAATGACTTCAAAGATGCATGCATGGACATATATGTAATTTATGTTTCGTTTGATAGGAAAAATAGAAAATAGCAAATAGAAAATAGAAAAGATGAAAAGTAAGAGAGATACACTTTCTATCTTTCAAGAATGAAAAATATAAATGATACACTTTCTTTCTTTATGTTTAGTTGGATGAATGGAAAATAAAAATGACTAATTTTTTTTTGTGCTGACTAAAATTAGGGTGACAATCGGGCCGTATCGTGTCAGATTCGTGTTGAGTCATTACGAGTTTATGTCGAATATTAGTCAAATCTAACTTAACTCATTTAACTAATTGTGTCGTGTCGAGTTGACTTGTTTACTTTATATCGAATTCGAGTCGTATTATCGTGTTGAGTCAAAATTTTTTACTCTTAGTTAAAATAGAAAAAATATTTTTTTTTAATTTAAATTTTTTTTTATTTTTAAATTTATTTTATATATATATATATATATATATATATATATATATATATATATATATAAAATAAATAGGAACGAAATAATGTGGTGTTCATACAGTAGCTAGTGGCTTTTTTTGGAGAGTTCAACGATCAAGGGTATTCAGGTTAGTTTATGCACATTTTAACCAATTTTTTTTTAAATTCGGTTAAAAGCAAGTCATCCACGTAGAGATTAAAGTATTCATAAAATATTAAAATCCCTTGTGACTTGTAGCCCAAAAAAGTTGCTAAAGTCGAACTTAAGACATCTGAATTTATAGTTCGTTCAAGTAGTAACTTTTAATCTTGCTCTTATTTATTTAAAATTGAAATTCTGCATACTCAATTTTTAGTCAATCTAGGATTTACCCTTATTAGATATACATAACCCAAAATTTTATGAGTAATACTATTGAGACCTAATTTAGTGACTTAATTCACTTTGACTTTTGTATTGATTGTGGAGCCTATCAAATATTAGAACTTGATGTTGATCGAATAGTTCTACTAAAATTACATCATTATATCAATAAATTAGATTAGATTTTTATATTCAAATAATATTACTCAAATTATATAGACCTATTATCTTTCCAAATTATAAAACTTATTCAATATATTCTTTTTCTCCCTGTGAATTAAAATTCTTTAAACAATGCTTGATTGTCCTCATTGAAATAAATATATATATATCGCACTTAATCTCACTCGCATACCCAATGCACATGGAGCTTACTCTATGGCAGAGTCTTTGAGATGTTAGGTATTTCATCTTATATTTATTTTAGAGAGGTTAATACTTGGACTCGAAACTCGTAAAATATTACTTAGATAGATAAACACTCGATAGATAGCATGACTAGTTGGGTATATTAAATTAAATTGCTATAATGGGTTAGACAAAGGAATGCACCAACTCTATGTCCACGGTGTCACCTTGGCAAAGAGATGAAAAGAGAATTTGGGCATAAACATTAATTTCCATTCAAAGTTACTTGATTCTCTCATCAAGAGGAAAGAAACTCGTGTGATTGGACAGTGCATGTCAATATGAATTGATGGATACGATGAGAGAATCTTTTAAACTTAGCCATGAAGAGATTTCGAGTCTGCCCATTGTTTTTTTGCCATGGAGATTAATGATACCATTGGAGGAAACAACCAATTGTAGTACTGTTTAATGAAACCATATATATATATGTAGCAAACAATAAGGTAAAGAGATAAAGACAAACTGAAGACACTCTTGCAATGGTAAACGGAATATGGAATAAAGTTTGGTGGTATACAGTTGGGACTTGGGAGATTGTCTAATGTGTTTCCAGTTCAAAAAAAAAAAAAATAGTCATTGGTGTAGGAGTAGTTATAAGAGATGACTGAGACTCTTTCATAGCAGGCTTGTCCAAAAAAATCATCTCTTCCTATGTGGTCCAAATGGCAGAGGTCCTTGCTGCAAGGGAAGCAGTCCACTTTGCTGGACAATAAGGTTGTGACAAAATTATTTTGGAAGAAGATTCGATTAATGTGAAGAAGAAGTTACAGTTGGACACTGAAAGTGAATTTAATCCCTTAGGCTCTATTCTTGCGGACATTAGATTAGATTTAGTTTACATAACTATCATAAAGTGTTCTCGGTCAAAAGATTAAGGAATAAGATAGCACACAGACTAGCTAAATATGCTATTAGGCACCGAATTTCATAATGTCTCCCATTCTCTAATTAATTGAATTTTTACTGTTTCTTTCAAAGAAAAATTAACTAGTATATTTTTCATAAAAAGAATATTTGTGCTCTTTATATCATTGTTTGCTTTAAAACTTACATATTACATCAAGTTCACCCAAAATAAAAAAATTCCATCAAAAATTTAATTGTTTTTGGAATTAACACCAAATTAATATTTTGTTTAATCCATTTTTTTATAGGAACATTCTGTTTAATCCAATTAATATTTCATTTAATTAAATTAACTTTAAAAATATATTTTCTATTACTTTAAACTTGTTTTATATGGAGAAGGGTAAATTTGTTAATTCACATCATACTTTTTTTGCTTGTTGAAGGGTGCAGTGATATTTCAAAAATCAAAAGAGGTGTTATTAAAATATGACTTAAATTCAGGGGTGTCAATGAAATTTACCCAACAAATAACTAAAACATTATTTATTTATTCAATAAATTGAATAGAATAGGTTTGAATGATTTTCTCTGTGCTGTGCTGTCAAAATTCAAAACTGATTGACGCCAGCTTGGCAGATTTATTGTGGGTCCCACTCCTCCTCACCGTCCTCTCTCCCACATGCGGACTCCAGTATTTTATTCCCCCCCCTTTTACGGTAGCACACACTTTCCATCAAACCATTCTCACATAACACCCACGAATATACAAAAAACCCTAATTACAAATTTGAAATAAGATAGCACCAAAATTCCATGTACTTCTTAAATGTTGTAACATTGTCCAGCTAAATTCTCTCCCCTGACTAATCATGTTATGACAAATCTAAGCCAGCATGAACTCTAACCTGGAACTGCCACTACATGTGTGTTGTCTTACAGCTACTCTCTGTTTCTCTCTCTCTCTTAAAAAGCTTCATGCCCTGGCCATTTCAATTTCAAACAGGCAAATCTGTTGGCGACAGGCGTTATTCATGATTATTAATTGTAATTAGTTCTGGGTACAAGGTTAATCATTTTGTTTTATTAACCTTTTTTACCTTCCTAATGTTCAAGTTACTCTTAAAAAGTAGTATATATATGCTTGCATGAAAAGCTGGCATTTTTATGGTGGTATTATTTTTTTACTTAGAATGTATACATATTCTTTGGCAGCTAGTATATAATTGATTCAGTATGGTAGTTACTATGTCCTATAGTATCTTATACATAAAGGTCCTTTTTTATACTACTTTTCCCCCTCTGGTGCAGTGGTGGTTGTTTGGGCATCAGAGTCTGCTGTGTTGTCTCTTTGGATGCTCAATGCTGATGCAGAAGCTCAGACCCACGAAGATGCTAGTAAGTAGGTTTCTTTTCTATTTGGGTTTCTGATTTTCTCTCTGGTTTTCATCTCTGCCAAATCGAAAATTATCAAGGCTCTCTTTTGTCAACTTTTTTTTTCTTCCGAATTTGATAGCTATTAGGGTTTATGTAACAATATATGTATTTGGGTGTGGTGAATTTTCCTTGTAGAGTGATTTTTGATGTTCATGAATGATTTGCTTTGTGGGTTTGTTTAGATTCTGCAATCAACAATGTTGTTGATGGAAACTCAATAGTGATCTTGTTTCCTAGTTTTAGCTTTTTTTGTTCTCTGCTGTGATGCTATGCTTTTAGCAAAATGTTGTTGATGGGGACTCAGTTTTAATCTTCTTCTTTTTTTTCCCCATTTTCAGCATGTTGGCTTTGTTCACCCAGGAAAGAAATTGAAATGAATTCCTTAAGTATGGATATGATATATTTCATTCTATCAAATGTTGTTTGTTAATGTTTACTGATTTTGGTAATGTGCAGAGCTTGTTAATGGTGTTTTGTCAGACTGAATTAATAACGGATTAGAGCAGCGCAAACTTTGTTTGTATTAGTGCATGCACAATTTACTATTTGTATTAGTGCGTGCACAATTTACTTCTGAATTTTAAATGTATTCTCCTTTGCTGTTAGTGTCATACAATCTGTTTAATTGATGTGAAATTGGTTCAGTGTTGGGCCATTTAGAGCAGCAAAACCTTGCCATTAGTTTTGCTTTAGTGTATGATTGCACTCGTGTGCTTGTATTTTTTTCGTTATTTTTCAATTACTTTTATCAACTCGATAACCCTTGGGCTGTCAGCCATGCGAGACTGTTTCTCCTAATAGCCCCTGGAAAGTAGAAATACACGTAAATGCTTCTCTAATCAGTTACTGTTTTTCTGAGGATGAGCTCTTGTTTCATAGGATTTGGACACATTTCATTTGGTGCTCGAGGCATGTCTTTCAGCGATTCTGTGATAGTAGCATTCAAGGAATCCACAGCTTGTGTAGCTGAATAAAACTGCTGAACATGATTCTTGATTTGTCTACTATATATTGTGAATTTGCCTATTTTCTCATTATACTTGGTTTTCTATCTTTGTTAATAAATTTATGTTTTCAAAATTGAGACTGGTGTGAGAATTGACTTATCTTTGTCCTGTTCCATTTCAGGCGACATTGATTTTGTTTTTGGCATTGAGCAATGCTCTTGAAATTAATGTTGAAGCGAGAGAGGGGCAGTGTGAAAATAAGCCAACATTAGATCCAAGACCACATAGTGTGTCCATTCTTGAGTTTGGTGCTGTGGGGGATGGGAAAACATTGAATACCATTGCCTTCCAGAATGCCATTTTCTATCTCAAGTCCTTTGCTGACAAGGGTGGCGCTCAGCTATATTTGCCACCAGGAAGGTGGCTTACTGGAAGTTTCAATCTTACCAGCCACCTGACACTCTTCCTTGCAAGTGGGGCTATCATTCTTGGATCACAGGTCTTATTCATATATTTTATATATTTCATCGACTATGAATTTTACTCTTCTTGTTTCTGATTATCTGAGCAAAAAAGTATTTCAAAAAAATATTTAACTGAGAACTTCATGACCTTTGGATTTCCTACTTGTTTCACTTCTCAACCAGGACTTATCTTATTGGGAAATTGTTGAACCACTACCCTCGTATGGTCGTGGGCTCGAACTTCCTGGAGGCAGGTATCGGAGCTTAATTAACGGAAATAAATTACGTGATGTGGTAATTACAGGTAAGACTATTCCTGCATAATTTTCGCAGTTTTGATCATCAAATGTTCTGTTTGGCTGCTTTGCTCAATATATCATAAAATGTGGTTTTTACATTCATTCACTGCGCTAGGTGATAATGGAACAATCGATGGCCAGGGCTCAGTTTGGTGGGATTGGTTCAGCTCTCAGTCCTTGAACTACAGCCGCCCTCATCTTGTCGAACTTATTGACTGCAATGGCGTTGTAATTTCAAATCTTACTTTTGTGAATGCCCCTGCCTACAGCATCCATCCTGTCTATTGCAGGTAGTCTTGGCTGAACCCTTTTTTTTTTTTTGGCCCGAACCATTTGACTTCATAGTCCGTTCTTACAGATTTCAATTAATTTTTTAATAAAGCATGATGAGCTACAGGATACAAACCTATTACTATCTGGGTGTTGTGCAGTAATGTGCTAGTTCAAAACATTTCTGTCTATACTCCGCCTGGATCGCCTTACACAGTTGGGATTGCCCCAGGTATGAGATGATTACCCTTTCACTTTCTAGATTTTGTTTCATTACCTGATGCAATTATATGTTAAGAGAAGCAATTATGCTTTCATGCCATTTTGAATGTAATAAAATTGCATTTCCTTTTTTTCTTTGAAATTATAATTGCAATTACTTCAGATATCTTTGTTTTGCTTTTATTTTATGTTTGTTTACCTTTTGTCGGGAAGAAAAAAACCACCAGGCTGGTCTGGAAAGGGTGGCTTAGCTACAAACCTAACATTTGACATTATTGACACAAAGTGGTTATCCTCAAGTTCAATCCCACAACCTCAAGGTTATTGGGCAGTTTTTTACCCACGGGAACGGTGACCCAATTTTTTGACCCTTTATCATGTTGTGATCTGTGGAGTTGTTTATTAATATTCACCTTAATTCCTGAATTGTTGTCGATCAAAACTTGAGTTTTTGTCATTCAATTTTAGCTTTTCTTATCTTGATTTGGTACAGTTCCTTGTGTTTTCTTGGGTGATGTGTATGCCTAAAAGTTCAATCTTCTTGGGACGGGCCGAATATGCCTTGCTTCAATGTCATGTCTAGTTAGAAGATAATCCGCGCATTTTGCTTTTGATGCCACCTATTTGACGACATTACGTACGCATGATCTCTTGCTGGTTCGGTTATCTTTCAACTAATTGGAAAATATCTTCCTTTGTTTATTTAAAAGACTTTGTATATGTTTTCAACCTCCAGGTGTTTTAAAAAATGCCAGTAAACCACACGTATTGACAACTCACATCAAATCATTTGTATACGAGTAATGCTAGATGGACTTAAAAAGTAGACTTAAAAATTAGACTTGATAATCTCAACCATTGAATAGATAGTGGATCCTAATAAATACTGGAAATCAATGGTTGAGATTATCAAGTCTAATTTTTAAGTCTACTTTTTAAATCCATGTAGCATTGCTCTTTGTATACTGCTTATTTCTCCGAGATCCAAATCCTCATTTCTGACACCTTCAAGCAAAAAGTTGGATGAAATTTTTAAATGGTGAGCGGCTGGTAAGTTCAGGGACTCACGGGTGGATAATGTTTTGGAGACTTCCTTGGTACTTTCCAAGGATTTGAAAGTTTGAAAAGCATCTTTACATTTTACACTTTAAACACGCTCACTCTCTGCTTCCAATGTCATTCTGAAACTTGGGAGCCTGTGTCTCTCTAGTAAACATTGGAATTTCAGAATTTGTGATTTATTGAGAACTCATAGTCATATCAGGCAATTTTGATTCTGGTTGGTTAGTTGATTTTGCGTTCATATAAAGCAAGTTGTGAAATTTGCTAACTGTTTCTGCATATACCAAATCTCTTTCAGATTCAGCAGACAAAGTATGCATAGAGAATTGCAACATTAGCATGAGCTATGATGGAATTTCACTGAAGAGTGGTTGGGATGAGTACGGCATTGCCTATGGCAGACCGACAACAGGTGTGCACATCAAACAGGTCTACCTTCAAGCAGCTACTGGTTCTGCCCTTGCCTTTGGCAGTGAGATGTCTGGTGGCATTTCTGATGTACTTGTGGAGCACCTCCACATACACAATTCATCTGTTGGCATAGAGTTCAGAACCACTAGAGGTAGAGGTGGATATATCAAGGAGATCATTGTAACAGATGTTGAGATGCAAAATGTCCACACAGCATTTGGTGCCAATGGCCAGAGTGGGTCTCATCCAGATGATAACTTCGATCCCAACGCACTCCCAGTTTTGGATCGAATCACCGTGCAGAATGTTATTGGGACTAATATCACCCTTGCGGGTAGCTTCACTGGTATTCAAGAATCTCCCTTCACTTCTATATGTCTATCCAATATCTCCTTATCTGTAACTTCTGGCTCTTCTACCTCATGGGTTTGCTCCAATGTCTTGGGATTCTCTCAGTTCGTCTCCCCAGAACCATGTCCTGATCTCGAATGCTCGTTTTTGAATTCTTCTTTAGCTTGCTTCAGTCTCCTGAATTCTTATGGTCAGGCTGCAGTTTTATGATAAAACATTCCTCCACCAGTACAATCACATCTTTTAGCCCCTCCATGGTCTTCAGAAGCAACTGAAACTATCAACCATACACCATCTCCAAATTGGGGCAGATTCTTTGCAATAAGGCATGCCCAGAGCATATATCTCTTCACTTTCTTGATTTCCATTCCATTCTAGCGTGTTACCCATCTGCAGATTGTGTACAGCCTCATTTCTTCATTCATGTAAGGAATATTTAAGCATTTATTTCTTGTAGGTTTGGTGCATTAATCTCGCATTGTAAACCTGAGTTGGCTGTGAAACATGTTAGATCCATATTGTTATCTATCAGAAAAAGAATCATCAGATTGGCATTGAACTGTTATGAGCTGATAAATTTTGGGCTTATATACCTTCCTCTTTCTTTTGCCATTTTTTTTTTTGTAAAGATTGTTTATTCGATTGACAATGATTCGACAAGCTATAACATGGGCTGCCAGAAAATGAAGAATTTCAGTTACATCTTAATCATCTAATGCAGATTAAATTTGTACAAACAGTTTTTGTAGGACAAGATGGAATTGAAGAACAACACAACTTCAAAGTTCAATACAAAAGATCTTTCAAGTATAGGCATGAGGGTGTGCCAAGAGGTAAGCTTCCACAACTTCATACATCCCAACAGCTCTGTCCTTGCCAAGCTCAATGTCTTCTTGTTTGATCTCTACATTCTCTTTTGTGTTGTATTCACATGATATCTTACAAACACATCCAGTATAGCCATATTTCTCAAACTTGACCTCATAAGATATTGATTCAAGCTTGTCCATCAACGCATCGCCTTCAAACAACGTGTACTTGCTCGTATAATTCTCTTTGTCAAGCGCATCAATTCTATGCTTCACATATGTGAAAGGACTGGCTGCAGCATAACAAGTGAAAGTAAACATTTCAGTTGAAAGCGTCCTTGTTTACTCGATATTTGTGATTTGAGGATGCATGATTATGTTTATTCGAAGTTTGTATTGTAGCCACAAATCCAACAAACTCTTGTCCAGAACTAGGCACTAAAGCAAAAGCATAAACTCCCAACAACTTTTTCAGATGGTGGTAGTAAATACGCTAACCTTCTGTGAAGTTCATTTGTTTGATGCTTCCAACATCTCCATCACCTTGGATATAATCAATACTTTTTATTGATGAAAAGAGGAGCTTTGGGCAAAGGTTGTGGGAATCAAGGATCAAAGCCTTGAACATCCTGTCTGGAGTAACCTGTGTTTTGAAGGTTTGAAACGTCTTGATGACACCCATATTTTCCTTGCAAAGAGTCACAGAGCTGTTTGAAGAAGCAGAAGAAGATAATGATGCAGAAGAGAGAGAGAGAGAGAGGTTGGGATTTTTTAGAGGGGATGGTGAAGATTTTGTACTATCAATTTATGAATATGCCAGAGGGGAAGGATTAAGATTTGAGGTGACGTAGCGTATGAATGCCACCATTATACCGGTAAAAGTCGTTGGGGGTAGACCATGAATTCAATGGGCAATCACCTATCATTTGTGGATTTGATTTTTTCAACACGTTATGGAGTTCATTTTTTTTTTTGGGTTTAACAGTTAGGAGGGGTGTCAAAGTTAGTTTATGTGTACCTCGATTAATTTTCTTTCCAGTCTGATAAAAAATTGGTCATCACTCAAAGATTAAAGTATTCATAACGGATAAATCCCTCAATAATTGGGTCTAAAAAATTACCGAGATTCAAATTTAAGACGTCTGACTTTACAATTTATTCTTATTATCACTTGAGTTACTCTTTGGATTATTACGAATAATTCCTGTGATAGATATCAATTCACTGAGGATGATGCAAATTTTCTTCTCTATGGAGTTAGGTAGTGACTTAGACAGGAAGAAAAATGGGTAATCTTTTTTTAAAAAGTGCTGTAATTGATTAATTTATTTTAAAATTGTCTTAGATTGGTACTTAATTAGGTTGTGTGGGGTGGGGGGTTGGGGGTACATTATTGCTTTTCAAGAACTTCAACTTTATGGGGCCATGTGGGTTTCTCACCTCGCATGCCCAAAGAAAACGGTGACAGGGAGCCTTTGGACACTGTAATAATTCAGTCAATACAAGACTTTAAAGAATTTGTATTAAAATATGGCTTGCCAATTTGACTAGTTGAGGTCTGAAATCAGGTCCATAGTCTAAAACCCACCCCCTAATATCAATCTTCTTCCACAACTAGATGCTCTTGGTTCATACTCGTCATCTCTCTGTGTGACTTGTTCCTCCTTCAACTCGGTGCTTTACAAATAGATACTTTCGATACAGGTTTCACCTTACTTTTCAAAAAAAAAAAAAGTTGTCAAGTTGAAGGAGTTCTCACATCAACTTTTTGTTCTCATAAAAGAAAATTTATGAGAATTCTCCAAAGTTATTGCCGTTGTTGTTTTGCTTTCATGGGAAGAGTATACAGGAATCGTTCCAACCTCTTTTAATCGGTCGGATATCAAAAGATCGAAAGTGATCTGACTAATCAATTATTCGAGAACGAAATTCCACTATACAACTAGGAATCTTCCCCTTCCCCTTTGTTCTCCCCTTCCTCAAAATCTAGAAAGAAGAAGAAATGGACCCCCCAAAATTTGTCATCATTCTTAGCCAAAGGGTCATATTGTACTCTTAATTATTTGTCTCTCTTTTTGACAGTTGTATTCTCTTTATTTTTTGGACTTGTGAATTGTTTAGTCGTGATTCTAATAGTGATCTATCGTTGCATATAAAAAAAGATCACGTATTATATATTAAATTGAGAGTTCACTTCAATATAATAGTCTCAATTTGTTTTTCTATAGGCCATTTTGAGGGAATTAAGAAAATCTAATACCGGAAAAATTTGAATCACAAATTACAATAGCATTTAGTAAGTCATGTGAAATCAATATATAGTAGAGAAAATGGGTTACTAATTTAATAACATATAGTAACCCATATTCCATATTCTTCTAACATGTGAGTTCCAAACATTTGACTCTAATGGGTAGTCCAATGGAGATAAAAATGAATCGTAAATTCAAATATCACGAGGGAGCTGAGTTGGTACACTTGAGGCACATCATTTGCTCATTCGGAGTCAAGATAGATTGGGTTCAAACTCTTTAACCTTTTCTAATATTTGTTTTCCTTAGTTATGGGATCTAACTTTAAAACTAAAGGAGACAGTCATTTAGTTTACTGAAAAAAGAATTATTTAAAAGTGGAGTGAACGGGAAAGTTGCAAAGAGTACGATTTCTTTTTGAATTTTCTGAATGGTACAATATTGGAGTCATGATAAAATAGTTGTTAGTATTTGTTTGCATATGGCATTTTGCCACAAACATATGTCAGCTTCTCATAAATTTTACAACAAGTGGTTCAAAGATGACAAATAAAATCAATAATTTTATGTAATAAATATAAACAAATAACAAAACGAAATAAAAAAAAAATAGATCGTACACAAGGAGTCTTACTCAAAATTTACATTCACGGACAAAACCCATTTGACAAAACTTCAACAGCAATTACGATCCAATGAATTCTATGTTAAAGTAAAGATGACGGATAAACATCAACAATGGATAAATCTATCGAAAATGACAACGTTGGTCTTTGGAAGTATTTTTTTGATTAATCAAGCAGAAAATTATGGGATAATTATTTTATTAAGAGAATATTTCGATTAGTCAAGATCATGATCTAATGGACATTAATTAGGTAAGCTAAAAATTCAACAGACAAACTTACCAAGTTTGGTTATGAACTAGAAATGAAACTTCAATAACATATTAATTATGGCTTAAATGATATATGAAAACTATATTTAATATTATAATCAAATCAAATCTTTTTAAAAAAAGAAGTAAAGTATTGTTGGCTATGTCAAGTTACGAAACTCTGAAAAAAAGAAAAAAAATAAAAAAATTCTTTTAACATTTGCAACATCATACTTTTTTATAGTTTGATCACTATAAAGGGTATTCAAAACTCAAACTATTGTCATGCACATCATCAACATGATTGGATATATAAATTAAAATTTACTTTAGGGAAAAATAATGTTATTTAGAGGTATTTGACTATAATGGGAATAAAAGTGTATTGATACAATAATGTATTTGACAATAATATATGCTAATGAGATGTCATGTAACATGGGATTTTGTAATTACCCAACTTTGCTAATCCAAGAGGATAAAAACGAAATGAAGGCTAATAATGTTTGTGTTCAACCATCTTCTCTTAGCCAATTTTATTTTAGTTTTTTAATATTAAGAGATTTGATTTGATTATAAATGTAAGTATAGTTTCCATATTTCATTAGAATCCTAATTAATAGACCATTGAAATTTCTTTTTTTGGTTCATAATCTAAGTTGGTAGGTTTGTCTATTGAATTTTTAGCTGACTTCATTAGTACACGTTAGATCATGATCTAACGGTATACTTAAAAAGTATCCATTAAAAGATATGATGCAGAGTTTTTATGATCGCGTTATTCTCTCTCTCTCTATATATATATTCATCTTTCATGGTTGACCTTATTTTATTTATTTTTTTATGAAGTGTCCAAACCTTCTTAAACGCTTGACACAAGAGATACAATATTCATCAACTTCGCCAATTATGAACGAAGAAAAGGATGTGAACTCATGTTACTTCATCAAACAATAGTATGACAAAGAAGAAAAGAAATGAATGGTTAAGTTTAGAACCAAAACACCCACAGATAGAAGCCACGGACTTGGCAAATTTTGCTGGTTGTCTTTCACAATCGGCTTCTTAGCTTTGTTTTTCTCTTATAAGAGAGATTTGTTTCAAGCACACGTAATTTGAATTATTAGTTACGATACAAATTTGACGTATAATAAGTTCTTATCTCGTCTTCTTTTAGGTCAAAAATTTACTCTAAGGACTCACCAAATCTCTCCCAAATTTTTTTTTGTTTGGGGTATTTATACCAATGTATGTACATCACAATTAATCTTCTTTTTGGTTTAGTTAATAATAAATCATTCATATCAAGATTAAAGTATTATCTCTCATGATTTAACCCAAAAAAATTGCCAAAATTCAATTTCAAATTTATAATTCATCTCTCTTATCACTTAAAAAACTCAATCACATTAAATCTCTCCCATAATTTGGCTTTCCTATTATTTCTTATCCTTATCTTGGCTAGGAGAAGGCTATTAGTCCTGTCAAGAAAGAGTTGCAATCCTGGGTCAAAACTCTGGAAGGAACTCATCATTGGGTTTTAGTTCGAATTTATAACAAGTTAAACTAAACCCCAGCCATATATAGCACACAGATTAATCTAAAATTGACAAGAAAAACCATCATTAACAATTATATTTAAGAATTTAAGTACATAATTAGAAATAGTACAAACTCTCTCTCTCTCTCTCTCATCAATCCTGAAATGAAAACAACTTAGACCATCACAAACAAATGGTCCTTATTACAACCACAAACACTCTTGAAAACTCTCATCAATATAGATAGAGCAGCAGAGAAGTTTAAGTTCCTCAGGCATCAGGATTTGCCAAGAGGTAGGCCTCAACAGCCTTGAACATTCCCAGTGCCTTTTCTTTTCCTTCCTTGATTTTCTCTTCTGTGATCTGCACATCCCCTTTGGTGTGGTATGTGCTGCTGGTTTTGCAGATGGAACCTCCATCAGCATGAGAATCGATTTTGACAATGTAAGAGATCGATTCAAGAACACCCATCAAAGCATCGCCTTCGATTATGCTGTAACTGTAGGTGAAGTTCTCCTTGTCAATCCCATCAACCTTGTGCTTCACACTCTTGAATTGGCTGCCTGCATATCAAATGGAGGCAATAATTTTGAGTCAAATCAAAATATAACCAACCCTAAATAGTTGAGATAAAGGTTTTTGTTAAGTTTCGTACAGAAGAAAGAAATGTCCATATTAACATGGGTGATCACTTCTAATTGTGACAGTCCTTGTTAAATAACCATTTAGTCCAAAAATTTAAAATGTTAGCTGAAGAGATTGTAACTTAAGTATGTATACTTCAACGGTGCTGATAGAAACTTACCTTCGCCAAAAGTGATCACTTTAATGGTTCCAGCTCCTCCATCTCCTTCTATGATTTCAACGCTCTTAATCGCTTGTGGCAAAACCTTAGGGATGAGGGTGTCGCCATCGAGGACAAAGGCCTTGAACATTTTGGCTGGAGGGATTGAGGAAGTGACCTCCATATCACAAGTGATTACACCCATGATGGTTTTTGAACTTGACAAGGTTTTTTCAGAAAGAAGAAGAGAAAGGTTTAAATGTGTTTTGAGAAGGGTTTGGTGCAAGTAAAAGTGAGAAGTAGGGATAGTATTTATAGAGTGATCAGCAAAAGGATCCCTTGTCAGAATGCAGTTATTAAATACCCAGTTTTTCAAAGTTGGAGTCCTGGTCTCCACCATCACTTAAATTCAAAAACAATAAAAAATGCAAATAAAAGTCAAGGGTCAAATATATATATATATATGCAGGTAACAAAAAGTGGAACTTTAAACTCAAAAATCAGTAGTAGTTTCGATGTCGAAGTATCGAAAGTAATTTTCTTTGACATTTTTTTTACACTTTTTATTTTAACTTAAATTATTTATAACCATTGATCATAAAAATTATTCAATAAAATTAAGCATGTCACGATTTTATAGTTTGTTTTTGATACAGTGATACCCCATGCACACAGCTACCCTTGCTGCAAATGCCGGCTCCCCATTAAATGGAAGACGTTTTGGTGATCACAAAATTGATCCAAAAGAGTACACCGACGTGGGTGACTACTGACTAAGTCTATAATATTGTGGGGTTAGCTTCTAGACTGGTTGATAATTAATGTCAGAATAAAGAAAAATTTAAATTTTGATGTTTTTTTAATATTACATAATAAAAAATTTATTTTTTATGAATATTTTAATTTCGACCTGAATGACTTATTTTTGACCGAACCGAGAAAAAAATTAATCGAAATGTACGTAAATTAACTTAAAATATTCTTGATTGTTAAATAAAAAAAAATGCCAAAACAAATAAAAAATTGGAGGACAAAATCCAAAAAAAAAAAAAAACTATGTCTTTGTTGTTGCTTTGCATCTCTCCTCCAAGAGATTCTCTTTCTTTATACATGGGACCAGTCTAGGAAAAAAATATAATTTAGTTAATGAGTTACAAATGGGTCACAATCACTAAAATAACTATAATACTTTCGAGTTCAATCCAATTCTCAATTACTTGTAATGATTAAGTTCTCAAACTAAATAAGTATAACACTGTTCATATTTATTTATTAGCAATAATCTCGTACTTTAAAATACTATATACCATATCAAAAATTAAACTAATCATGCAATATTCATATTTTAATGAAAAAAACACACTTTAATTTACTTTTTTGGGATAAATAAGATCAAAAGGGAGATAATAATTTATTTTTTAATTACGTAATTTAAAATTAAAGTGAAGAGAGAAATAGGTGTTGATTGTTGGGATTGTTTGATATTGAAGAATGTATTGATTGAATTATTTGATATTAAGAGTCATGCAAATAAGTTGACTTTTTGGGCGAAAAAAAAATTTGGATAAATTTTGTTCCATTAGATTAAAATAGACAAAACTTAGATTAATCTTAACCGTTTGTTATTTTTTTATAAATTAAAATTTTAATTTTTTAGTCGTAATATTGGACTGATATCCTCTGTAGGTATGAACAGTAAAATGGTGACTCCCACATACAGAAATGTCAATATTGTGACTTCATGTGAAACTACAAAGTTTGGTGGAAAATGCCATTCCTAGAGACTATTTTAAGCCAGTCTACCTGCAACTTTTTTACGTGTACTGCATATAGTTGTTGATCATTTCAATCATGGTGCTATATTTATATATTTTTTTTAATCATACTTAGTGTGTCCAAATTCGACTAGGTCAAGCTCAATTAATTAAGTCCAAAGTTCAAGGAGTCTAGGAAGATTAACGCACGTGGAGAGTAATTATCGAAATAACTATTCTCCAAGATCAAGACTATCTCTAATTGTACATATCCTAATTATATTTATCCTCTCCAAAGGATTAGACACCTACCTATTATGTCATCACCTCAACTAAGGCTTTGTGCCCATAAAATATAAATTATAAGCCCTCTTCACATGAGAGGGGCATCTCTCTACGCACCTTACACAATTATCTCTCTCATAGCTACCAAGAGTTAACTCTTGTTTTCTCTCTATTTCACCTACTATTTCATCAATAAATATCATCGGTCACCGTAGTCGCCTTCGAAGTGGAGTAGATCACCTAAACCGAACCACTATACATATTGTTGTTTGTGTTGATCTAATATTTGTCTCCTTCATTAATTGTTTGTGTTGATCCAATATTTGTTTCTTCATTAATTATTTTATTGATTGCTTCATTAATTATTTCGAGTCATACACTTGATTGTTGATTGTGCATAAACTTATTTTATGCATCATCAATATTAAAAAAGTAAATAAATTCAAAAATATAATAATTTTTACTCAAAAAGTGATAAACTCCGTTCAAAAAATACAAGTAAACCCAAAGATAACTGAACTCCGAAAATTAGCAAGTTCTACTCAAAAAATAGTATAAATACTCAAAAAAGTAATAAGTGATACATTCTTAAATTTTGTTCGAGTATCCTACTGAAGGCATACCATGAAACATAATCGGATCATTTTACGTATACTTTGACTAATCTTCTCTCCGATCTGATCAGTGATAGGTTATTCACATCGAAATTAGGATATTCATTTTAAATACACTATAAAACATAGTTTTGTTTCAAATAACATCAACTCCATGTTATAATTTATTTATTATTCATTTCACTTGTACCTTAGAAAAATGACGGATCTAAAGGACGGAGGACTAGAATATTCGTCCCATCCCCCCTAATAACACTTGTTGGGATAGTCTATGTGTTTCGAGATCATTTTCGGTTAAAAACTTAGGTCTATAAATATTGAGTTTAGTCAGATTATATTAACTTATATTTTTTACTTTTTTTTATTATCCGACCGGAGATTCTCACACATGTCATTCCAAACATAATCATACATAGAGGAATATAATAGCAAAATGTAATAATGACTACCAAATTTATTTCCTTGTGTTCCTCTTAGTCTTGTTCCAGTTTTCACTGTGTTTTACACATACTACATAGTGGTTTTTCTTTCTTGCACATTCCACTTCCAGGACTTTCATGGGTTTTTTTTTTTTTTTCGTGGCATGTCCAAAGATTCATAAATGTGCGGCACCGAATCAGAGAAAAGATTACTCAACTTGACAAATTACCAACACAAGAAAGGCTGTGATATTCTTATTAGACCATCAATCCTGAACTTGACTATTGTATCAAAAAAAAAATTTGATATCATACTTTAAAATGTTACTATTTTTATGGCATTTTTATAATTTTTGTACATAATTTACCCGATTGCGAGTGTTTTTGTTATTTTTGTGGTAATTGTTTTTATTACTCTTGTGGTACTTACGATCAATTTTAAAAATATCTATAAAAATTTTAAAAAAAAATTCATAAAATAATAAATGATAGAATGATATCAATTTTTTTAGGTACTGTAGACTTGTCTAATCACTGTTAAAGTAAAATGTTCACAAGAGCCATTGACTTCATAGCATTAGTGGCTTGTTTTACATGATTGACCAAATTTTCTTCTTTTTTTTTCTTTTCTAAATTTATTTTACAATAGAGAAACATTGTAGTAATCACGTATTATTTATTCTCATGGTTACAATACCTACATCGCATATGCAATGACTTTGACTTGCTAGACATTACCTTGGAATCGCTTTAACATATCTGTCAAACAAATTAGACTTTCATGTTTGTATTATAATCTTATTGAGTATGAATTTTCTTCTTATCTTTGCTACGAAGAAGAACATTGGTCCTCACTCGAAAGAGTTGGCTATTGTCGATGTTGATATAGGCGACATTAAATTGGAATGCCGGTTAAACGCCGTAAAATTATTTTTTCGGTGTTTACTTAATCTTATCCGGCGTTTGTTAAACACCAGAATTTTCGGATTTTCTTGTAGTGATTAGTCAATAAATAGACAAGAAGTTTGAGTCATCTATATACAAAATAGAAATAATACAAATTTGATCTGTTTATTTATTAATCCAGCAAAACAAACACCTTGACAGTCACAACCAAAACATACTTAATATCAAGCAGGGAGGAAAAAACGTAGAAAGCCCCACATCTTTAACTAATTATACAAAGCCACACTCTTGAGAAAACATATATCAATACACAGATAGATATCCAAGAGGTTTTGAGTTCTTAAGCATCAGGATTTGCCAAGAGGTAGGCTTCAACAGCCTTGAACATTCCCAGTGCCTTTTCTTTTCCTTCCTTGATTTGCTCTTCTGTGATCTGGACATCCCCTTTGGTGTGGTATGTGCTGCTAGTTTTGCAGATGGATCCTCCATCAGCATGAGAATTGATTTTGACAACGTAAGAGATCGATTCAAGAACACCCATCAAAGCATCGCCTTCGATTATGCTGTAACTGTAGGTTAAGTTCTCCTTGTCAATCCCATCAACCTTGTGCTTCACACTCTTGAATTGGCTGCCTATATATCAAATCGAGGCAATAATTTGAGTCAAATCCAAGTATAATCAACCCTAAATAGTTGAGATAAAGACTTTGTTAAGTTTTGTATAGAAGAAAGAAGTGACCATATTAACATGAGTGATCACTTATGATTGTGATGGTCCTTGATAAATAATTATCTACTCTAAAAATTTAAGCTGTTGAAGAGAGTTGAAGAGAGTGTAACTTAAATATTTATATTTCAATAGTACCGATAGAAACTAACCTTCACCGAAAGTGATCACTTTGATGGTTCCAGCTCCTCCATCTCCTTCGATGATTTCGACGCTCTTAATTGCTTGTGGCAAAACCTTAGGGATGAGGGTGTCGCCATCGAGGACAAAGGCCTTGAACATTTTGGCCGGAGAGATTGAGGAAGTGACCTCCATATCATAAGTGATCACACCCATGATGATGGCTTTGGAAATTGAAAGGGGTTTAAGAGTGAAGAACTGATAGGTTTGAATGGGTTTGATGAGGTTTGGTGCAAGAAAATGTGTAGAGGCAGTATTTATAGAGTAATATCAGTAAAAGGAACTCTTGTGAGAACACTTCTACAAACCAAGCATATTCCACGTTAAGAGTCTTGGTCTCCATTCAAACCCAGTACACTAATAGACATTTCGTGATCACCATATTTCCCCCAAACGAGTACACCGACTTGGATGGATCCAAATCTCTTTCAATCCATTTTTTCTTTAAATTCTCGTCTTGACAGATTATTCACCATTCACGAGAAAGAGACGCACTTGTATACAATGGATCCAACTTGAATACATGATAGGTGGTCCGTCAAGAAAAAAATTAATGACAAGTTATATTGGAGGAGATATTACCCCGACTTGGTTGACTATGCCTGCAATTTGGTGGGGCTATATCTTCTAGGATGGTTGATAATTGCCAGAAGAAATCAAACAATATGAGGACCGAATCAACAAAACTTATGTCACTATTAGCTCTCCTTCATGGGGCTCCATTTCTTTAATTTATTATTGTTTTTTTTCTACTCCTACAATTAATATACATGGGACCAGCTTTGGAAAAAAAAAAAAGTTTAGCTGATAAGTTTGTTTTTGTTACAGAATGTTTAAGCTTGTGCTGACTATTCTTTCGAGCTCAGCGAATTTAGTTGATAAAATACGTATTAACCAACCTCGTATTTGTATAACCTTATAGATCGTCAATTCTTGATCAGTTACGTATTATTGCAAGTTAAACAAACTTCTTTTCGTAGTTAAATAAATATTATTTCCAAATAATATTAGGATTAATATTATTTCCAAATAACCTTATAGATCGACAAGTAATTTACGTTAAGATTAGGATATTCATGAAAGATCAATTGTTCAAGGTCTGACCTCAAGAGGTTGCTAAAATTTTAATTCAAAACGTCTAAATTTATAACTTATTTCTATTACCATTTGAGTTACCTGTGTGTGGGTGGCTTGTGGTTGTGATCTCAGGATTTTAAAAAATCGGCGACTGAAAAGGTTTTTTGAAAAAGTATAAATCTATTCACAAACAATTATTTGTGTTATGATGAATTAATTATTCCTTAAATAAGCTTTGAAAACCGTCTTAATGCTTTTTATATTTTTAATAAATTTAACCGATAATTTAACATTAATATAATTGCTAACTACTAATTACGAATAAAGACTTTATTTACGACCTAATCAGGTACTTAATTCATTTCAACAATTATAACTAGCCAAGTCAATTTCAAATTGTTGTATTGCAAGTGAACTTTTTTTAACATTAAAACTTATAACTAATCTAATTGCTTAATTGAATTAAGTTCTTGAATAGATCGTAAATAACATTACTCTATGATCAAGTGAAAAAGAAAAGGCCAATTGCATTGGGCCAAATGTTTTAGGCTAAATACTTTGGACCATATGCTTTAGGCTTGATTTTGGACCAAATGATTTAGGTTAAATAGTTTGGACCAAAAGTAAATATTTTGGGCCAAATGCTTTATCTACGTACTTTGGGCCATGACTGCTCACAAGCAGCATGCATTTTTGGGTTTAGTTTTGGATTTTTTAGGCGTGGGTATAATTTTTAATATTTATTTGTCCAAAAGTGTATGGATAAATGATTTATTCTTTTAAGTACATTTTTTGTTAAACTTTTTATGTTTAGGTACAAAATTCAAATGAAGTGAAATGCTTTTGACTTAAACACCCTTCCTTATTTTATGCAGTTATGATTGACAGATATTTTAGAAAACAAATATTTAAAGATTACATATTTGTTATTTTTTTAATTTTTTAATTTTGAATGAGCAGGTTTGAGAGAGATTTATGGATATATTGATAGTTATTTTATGAAGTAAATATGTAATCTTTACATATTTGTTATCTTTATTTTTTTGAATCAAACGTATGTATTCTAACTGATAGTCTTCTTTAACCTTATTCTTCTTTAACGTCTATTTATTTTTCTGGCAATGATTTTCTTTGAAAAAGGAATTGAAAATACCAAACATCGTCATCGGATTAAAGGTGAGTTGTTAATAATTATGTTTTTTCCTATTTCGGTAATTTTTTTTTTGTTGGGATTTTTCCATGTTCGGTTTTTGTTGTATGGTCGTTTATGGAGGAGTTCAAAACTGGTTTTCAATTCAAATGGGTGTAACTGGTTGGTCGATTATGGAGGAGTTCCAAACTGGTTTTCAATTCAAATGAGTGTAACTGGTTGGTCGATTATGGAGGAGTGAAAAATTGATTTTCTATTCAAATGGGTGTAACTGGTTAGTCGATTATGGAGGAGTAAAAAATTGGTTTTCTATTCAAATGAGTGTAACTGGTTGTCACGAGTGTAACTATTTTTGTTGTATACAAAATAATTATATTTTTTATACTATTCGATCAATGTTTTTTTTTTGGAAATTAATATGTTAGATTTTTTCTGTATGTTTTGGTTGTTGTTGGGATGAATGGGAAAAAACTGGTTTAGGTTTAATGGTTGTAACTGTTTTTAAAAGTTTTTTAAAAAAAATGCTTTTAAAAAACTGATTTGGATCTTATATTTTGGAAGATCCTGTTATTTTCTAATTTTTTTTTGTTTTATGTTTTTTTTACCGGTAAGTAGATAATTACTAAATTGCTTTGTATTAATGTTGTACATAACTGTTTCGTGTAATTGTTATTCTTTTCCTTTTTGAATTGATATAATGTCATTCGTTTTTTTAATGTCTTAATCAGGAATGGATGGAATGGTGTTGCTTGTATGCAAATATAATGTTGAAACTTTTATTATCAGATGTTCTGTTCGTGCAACATTCAATTTCATTTATAGCAGACTTTGTGAAAAATGGGAAGACTTGGGGAATTTGTCTGTCATCATGTCATATTCTATACCAGGTCATCCAAAATGTTGTTTGCAAAATGATGAAGACTTGCGTAATATGTTTGATATAATGCATTTGATAAATGTCAATCATGTTGAGGTCATGGTAACTGGGCAAGATAAAGAGTCACGTGTGGTGGGTGATGATAATTTGATTGGAGATGTTCATATTTGTGATGATGGTTTGGAGTCTGATGATGATTTGTTCCCTCGCTTCTGCTCACATACGAAAAAAGTATTGTTGATAGCTGTGTGGTCAAATGAAATAAGACATGTAGGCCAAAAGTTTGAAGGTGATGTCACACATTTTTGTAAAGCTCTGTGTAAATACTCAATTGAGGTTGGGTTCAAGTTTAATTACGTGAGAAATTGTAGGGATGGAGTTATTGCTGAGTGTGCGTCGAAGTATGATCAAGGGTGTGGATGACATATCAATACTACTATTCAGAATTTTAATGGTTTTTTTTACATACGAAAAATGAATAAAGAACACACATGTGGAGTAGCATTGCGTACCATAAAGAACAAGAGATTGTCTTGCAATATGATTGCAGATTTGATTGTTGATAATGTCTGTGACCAGACCTCCACTCGTCTTGTGGATGTGGTTAGTAATTTCCTTACATCTTATGGTCTTGACGTATCCTATCACCAAGCATGGATGAGAGTGGAAAAAGTAAAGGGTATGCTTTTGGGGGATCATATGTTGTTGTACAAACAGTTACGTTGATATATGGATGCTGCGAATAATACAAACCCCGGGAGTCATATAGTTTTGCATTGCGATGATGACACTGACCGCTTCCATAGATTGTTTGTGTCATTCAAGGCGTGCATCGAAGGTTTCAATTATTGTCGTCCAATTTTATTCATTGATGGGACATTCATTAAAAGAAAGTACAAAGGAATCATCCTTTTGACAATTGGAAAGGATGGTAATCAGGGTATAAGTCTTTTAACTTTTTTTTTTCTAAATGTGCGTGTTAATTTTGTATTTTTTTGTAGTATTTGGTCATTTTAATTTTTCTTAGTGTTTGATTTTTTCATAGGTACTTAATGATCTGGTTTGCTTTTTTTTTTTTTCCTGTTTTAATGTCTTAATAAAACATGGTGTTTATGCATATTTCTTTAATTGTTAATGTAACTGTATAATGTATATATTATGTGATTTTTAATTAGTGTAATTGTTACTGTTTATTGTAACAGTTTTAAAATAACAGGTTGTTGTATATTTGTTATTATGATGTAAATTCGTAGGCTATTGTTTTAATATTTCACTTAACTATACACATTTACCTTTGTGTTACAGGATTATACCCACTAGCGTTTGCGATCGTTGACTCGGAAAATGAGGCGAATTGGTTATGATTCTTACAACAATTGTGTGAGATTTTGGATCTGAATAGGGAAATTACATTTGTATCTGATCATAATGTTGGTTTGTTGGAAGCCATGCCAAAAGTTTTTCTAAAGTGTCACCACGCTTTCTGTTTGCAGCACTTGAAGGCGAACTTGAGGGACAAGTTTAGCGGTACTCGGTATTCAAATGGATTTAGGGAGCATATGGTGGTGTTGTTGTGTGAGTGTGCTTATGCCCCCATCATTTCATTGTTCACCCAAAAAATTGAAGGTTTTCGACGTGAGGGTGGACACATTGTCGAGCATTTTTTGGATAATCTTCGATATGAGCATTGGGCAAATGCATACTTTAGAGGTAGACGTTACGGCGAGATGAACTCTAACACAGTGGAGTCGTTCAATTCATGGATTATGAAAGCACAACATTTACCCATTACGAGCATGGTTGACACTATTAGGTGTCAAATTATGAATCAGATGGGTACTAGGATGATCACAGCGTGTACATGGAATGAAATTGTATGTCCTGAGATGGATTCAAGATTACAAGTTGCATTTGCCGAAAGCAGGGCTTGGACTGTTAGTGTTTTGAACAGTGATGTGTACGAAATTAATTCAAATCCTTCTGTTTCAGTCGACATCAACAATGGCACGTGTTCATGTTTTCAATGGTAGATTAATGGATTCCCTTATTCTCATGCAGTAACGGCGATACAAAAGAGTCAGAGAAATATGAATGAGTTCGTTGATTATTTTTATCATGTTAGTACATTCAAAAATCGTACACTCAACTTATACTCCCAATCCCGACTCTTGGTCATTCAGACTTCAATGTTGA